AGGCCCAGGTGGGCTGTCTTTACAAAGTTGTTGACCTCTAAACAGTTATGTAGAGGTTCCTCAGGGTCATCATCAGGAGGGAGGCTGGTAGCCAAAGAGCCTGAAACTGGATGACATCCAGCGCTCCAGTGTGCTTCCAAGCAAAGTTTCAACCACATAGCTATGGCTGCTACTGCCTGGAGGCAAGCAGGCTAACCAGATGCAACAGGGTCAAGTCTCTTGGACAAGTAGGCTACTGGTCTTTTCCAAGGCCCAAGACTTTGGGCGAGAACCCCTTTGGCTATGCCCTTGTCTCACATACACATCTGGTAGTGCCAATTGGACCATCATTCTTGCTCCGCTCATGCCTGTCTTACTGCCTAATATATTACCTCAAGGATCCTCGCTCTGAATTCTTTCAGGGAAAATGGGCGTCGAAATTCTCTTCTATACTTCCATGCTGAGATGGGTCAGAAGTTTCTCTCAGAGCCAAGAGATCCTTGCTATCTGTCAGAGGGACGATGTGGCCTGGGCACAGAAGGAGTTGGGCTTGTGACCTAGCAGAGACAAACTGTAGCAATTAGAATAGTAAGAGTCATAACATCCTTGTCTCTCTGGAGCCATGTCCATGAAGATGCAGGCGTCTTCTAAGTCTATTATACAGTTTTCTGCGGGCCACTGTCAGGGCTGTGCGTGGCAGCTGGTTCCTCTTTCCAGCCACAAACACAGTCTGTCCAGTTCCCCAAAATGTATTCTGGCACGGGAGAAAGTTGCTTTGCTGTACACAGGTAGCTTAACCCCTATATAACTGGGCTTGGACCTCTGCCTAGCAAACTGCAGTCTACAATTTCAATATGCAGCCTCCGGTCCTCCCAACCCAACAGGGTCTCGGCCAGTCCCTCAGTCAGACTTCTCCTCTTTTGGAGAATCTCAAAGTCCTGAAGGCTCCTTCCCAGGTCCAGGGAGAGCGCCTTTCCTTTGCCCTTTTGCAAACCCTGTTTACTAGTTACAGTGTCTCGGCCAGTCCCTCAGTCAGACTTCTCCTCTTTTGGAGAATCTCAAAGTCCTGAAGGCTCCTTCCCAGGTCCAGGGAGAGCGCCTTTCCTTTGCCCTTTTGCAAACCCTGTTTACTAGTTACAGTGTCCTGCCATAACCTGCCAGTTCAAAACAGCCAGAGTTGCAGTTAGAAACAGCCCTACATATTACAAAGCGCTCCTATGGCAGTGGGTTGGGTACCAGGCCCCTGTGGTACCTGGGGTACCTTTGTACCCGTCCCCTGTGGCAGAGCAGCGATGAGGCCTCTCCCAAGGGAGTGCACTGGAAGGGGATATCAGCCCCTCCTCTGCTAGCAGCAGCAGGTACCAAACCCTTTTAGTATATTTGACCAGCTTCATTCCCAGCCACTTTTACAGATTCCAGGGCCCGTTGTCATCTTTTAACCAGCAAGCCAAATGACACTGGCCTGTATTATTTTCTATTGTTAGTTAGAGGAAGACAATTCCTGTGGAGGAAAATGACTCTTAGTCGGCCTGGAAAAGAAGACAGAAGATGACAAGGGTGCAGGGAAATTTTAGACAAGAAAAGCCACAACTACCTTTAAATCTACCCCAGAATTCCAAAATTTCAACCTAACACAGCAAAATTACAGAGCAAACCAAAGTCCCTAGTACACAAACATAGACAAAAATTTTTACTAATAAGTGGGCTGATTCCTCCCGTGATAGAGAGCAAAAATCTCTGAGAAAACTAACTCAACAGCACTGTTTGAGACTTTTGCAGACCATCACGGGTTCAGCCTTCAGCAAATCTAACATTTTAACCAGATGAGCGAACAGAAAATCAAAGTAGCTTTCACTTTCACACAGACCAGTTAATCAGCAGATAATTATGCCAAGACAGACAAACATTCATACTCACACTCCCTCAGACTAGCCCAGACTGGAGCTGAGCAGATAATGCCCAACTCCTCAGATGGGCATGGGGGCACTCCCGGCACCCATGCCCCAGACCAAATTCTCGACCAACGTCTTGGTGAGAGCCTACCGGAGGAATTAAGGTTGCATCCAGCCCCCTTTCTTAGTACTGCAAATTGGCTAGTCCCACACACAAACAAAAAGAAGAGTGAACCCATAATTCCTTAATTGAATCTGAATTCACTCACCTCCAGCCTGCTGATTCCTGATTTACCTGACAAAGTCCTATGACTTCCATCTGTACTCACACTCTCTCAGACTAGTCCAGACTGGAGCTGAGCAGATAATGCCCAACTCATCAGATGGGCATGGGGGCACTCCCCGCACCCAGACCAAATTCTTGACCAACGTCTTGGTGAGAACCTACCGGAGGAATTAAGGTTGCATCCAGCCTCCCTTCTTAGTAGCAAATTGGTTAGTCCCACACACAAACAAAAAGAAGAGTGAACCCATAATTCCTTAATTGAATCTGAATTCACTCACCTCCAGAGTCCTGATTCCTGATTTACCTGACAAAGTCCTATAACTTCCAGGGAGGTGATCAAGCTCCCACTTCCACTCACTTGGAGTGGGCCTGACTGACTGGGGCCCCTACCTTACAGATTCTGTTGACAGGTCCAGAGGTGTCCGTCCACTTTCTCCAGATGCCGGCTGGGTCCTGGGCTGAGGTCCAGGAGCGCCTGGAGTTCCCCCTGGTTCAATTCTGCTAAAATCAGCAGCACACACCTTCTGGAGGCCTGTCCTGTTCCCCCGAGCCCCAAACCCTGTCCACTCACCGGAGGCAAGAGCCAAATGTGGTTAGCTTTTCGGTCAGGGAACCATATATTGCCAAAGACCAAAGAAAACCAAGTATGCTTCCTAGAGAAAGCGAGGAACCCCATTTATTAACACTAGTGGACTCTGGGAATAATTTCCAAATCAGAGTGAAGTAACATGCACAGGGCTTCACTTTTTATAACC